ACTTGGTAGCCCAGGCTGGCCTTGAACTCACAGAGATCCGCCTGGCTCTGCCTCCCGAGTGCTGGGATTAAAGGCGTGCGCCACCACCGCCCAGCAAATTGAGAGGTTTTATTGCAGCACCAGCTCAGGCTCTGGCTGGAATCAGGTAGAGAGCCCACAGAAGCAGCGCGCTCAACTGGCCCAGGCTCTCCTAGGTCTCACTAGCAGGAGAATGTCTAATGTGGGGGGAATGGAGAGTGTGTTATATACAAATCCCTGTGCTTCACCCTGGCAGTCTGAAGGTTAATGTCAGGCAAGGTCTAAGAACTGTAGCTGGTGTTTTTACTCTTTTTTTTTTTTAGAAGAATATTCTTTCTTTTTTTAATTTAATTTTATTTTATGTGCATTAGAGTGAAGGTGTCAGATCCCCTGAGACTGGAGTTACAGATGATTGTAAAGCACCATGTGGGTGCTGGGAATTGAACCTGGGTCCTCTGGAAGGGTGTTTTTACTCTTTAGGGGCCCACCACCCAGCTCCCAACTAAATACACAGAGACTTATTCTTGCTTATGAATGCCTGACCTTAGCTTGGCTTGTTTCTAGCCAGCTTTTCCAACTTAAATTATCCTGTTTCTCTTTAACTACATTTTGCCTCTGGGCTTTTTACCTTTCTTTATTCTAAATATCTTTCTTCCCTTCATACTCCATGGCTGGCTGTGTGGCTGTGTGGCTTTGTGGCTGGCCCCTGGCATCCTCCTCTCCTTCTCCTTGTCTTGCTCCTGGCTCACTTCCCTAGATTTCTCCCCCTGTTTATTCTCTCTGCCCACCAGCCCCACCTACTTCTCTCTCCTGCCTTGCTATTGGCTGTTCAGCTCTTTGTTAGACCAATCAGGTGTTTTAGACAGGCACAGTAACACAGCCTCCCAGAGTTAAACAAATGCAACAGAAAAGAATGCAACACATCTTTGCATCATTAAACAAATGTTCCACAGCACAAACAAATGTAACACACCTTTAGCTAATATTCCACAGCAGCGAACCTGCATTTCTAACAAGGTCCCAACTGAAGTTGAGACTGACGACTCATGGGACACACTCCAAGGAGTTACTGACGTGGGCAGCAGTGGGAATTCCTCCCCACCTACGTTCATGCAGTTCACGACCTGCACAACGATGCACAGCTGCCTCTAGGCGATAAGAGCAGAGGATCTTAGGGTTCTTAGGAAGCCCCCCCCCACCAACAGCATCACTACTTCATTGTGTGACTATCATGTGCTCCCTCAGGGGCAGGCATTGAGAATCCCGGTCCAGTTCTGGTTTTGACCCCAGACCTCCTTAGTGTGTCCTATCTCATGAGGCACCTGCCCTCATGGTACCCACTCTGTAACCCTATACCTGCTCCTGGACCATCCTGCCTCTGAGTTCCAGCAAGAACAGGCCCTTTGAGCTGGGCCCCAAGCGTCTCCTCATCTCCCTCGACTTACCTCGTCTCTGTCCGTGGGGCCAGCGAGATGGCTCAGTGGCTAGGGTGGGGTTTGCTGCACAAGCTTGAGGAACTTGAGGTTATGTCCCTAGAACTCACATAAAAGCCAGGTGTGCCTCTGTAACACCAGCACTGGCGGGCAGAGATGGTGAGCCTGGGGGCTCGCTGGCCAGGCAGCTTAGCACAGAGAGAGAGCACCAGGTTCAGTGAGAGACCCCATCTCAAAACATAAGGTAGAAGTGATTGGGGAAGACATTTCAGTCTCCACACATCTGCACCAGTGCACCAGTGAGGAGGACATGCCCACATATACACCATCACACACACACACACACACACACACAGAGTTTTTGTCCCTGGCTCAGCATAATTCCACCCCTCTGCCTCGCATCAAAGAAACAACAGATATGAACATGGATGTGATGCCTCATGGTACCCCAAAACCTGCTGATGTCCTCCACCCAGTCCTGATTCTCTTTGATCAGGAGCCAGCCCTCCTTGTATCCCTAAAACCTATGGCATCTCTCCAAGGCCTCCCTCTGGTCCAGCCCCCAAAGTCTGCCCCAATTATTCCCTTAAGGCAGTGGGTGCTGACTTTGGAGATCTACTTTTAAGATGTGAGAGCTAGCCTGGTGTGGTGGCACATGTCTTTAATCCCAACACTCAGGAGGCACAGGCAGGTGGATCTCTGAGTTCAAGGCTTACCTTGAACTCTACATAGGTCTACATAGGAAGTTCTAGGACAGAATGAAAGTCAGAAACCCTCCGCTAGAAAGGTGTTTCTAGAAACACAAACACATGCAGAGCTGTGTCGTCTGAGAGGCTCACAGACTTCCAGAGTCAGTTCAGGGACCTTGGCTAAGACACTCTGCTCATTGGAATGGTGGTGCAGGCCTATTATCGTGGCAAACACCCATGAGGCCAAAGCAGAAGAGGGCTGGTTCAAGACTAGACTGGGTTACTTGGAAATACTCTCTAAAACAGAACAAAACAAAACAAAAGCAGATTGTTCCGCCCTTAGCAAGAGAGTGCTCTCCCAGTCCTGGCTCTACGGAAACTCCCTAGAGATGAGAATGAGCTGCTTGTGTGCCCGCACCCACTTTCTAGGTTTTGTTTTAATACAGTTCAAACCTTTTTTTGGCTATTCTCATTAGGACAAAAGCTCAATAATTCCTGCTAAGGATGAGGGGTATTTCCTTACAGTTTGTAAGGTGTGGCAGGATCATAAGCCCCACCGGGTAGGTGTGTTCACATGCAGAGTGGGGAAATGTCCATGACAGTCCTGTGTAGTGGGGGAGGGTTGGTTAGAACCCAGAGATGTCCCAGCCCTGGGGATGGGGTGTCCAGTCCATTCCAGAATGCCACAGAACACGTGGGTCCAGATGCATGTGGAACCCAGAGCTGGAACCTGTTGGATGTGGAACTACCCCTCAGCCGCACCCAGGAGCCAGGAGTGACCCTAGCCCCCCTCAAGCCCTGGACACAGTACGCCGTGTTTGTGCGGGCCATCACCCTGACCACCGCCGAGGACAGCCCCCATCAAGGAGCCCAGAGCCCCATTGTCTACCTTCGAACATTGCCTGCGGGTGAGCTGAGGGCTCCAGAACGAGATGCCTGATTCCTCTTGAGGAAGATAAAGGCACAACACAGGTGCCAGACACAGAGAGGCTGGGGAACCCTAGAGGACAGGCAGTCAGATTCTTCGGCACTACAAAGAATTCTCTGAGCCTTGGGGGAGGCTGGGGTTGGACTTGCAATAGCTGAGTGAACTCAAAGGCCTGTGAAGGATTTAGAGAACCAAAACCTGACTTCTACTCTCCTGTATAACATTATTGCCTCCCCAGGGTTCGGGCCACGGCACAGTTGGGAGAGTGCTTGCCTCCCCCGAATGAAGCCCTCAGATTCATCTATATCCTAGTTTCTGGAACAGGGAAAGGACAGAATGATTTCTAGGGAAGGAGGGCTGAAAGTCACAGATAGATTCCTCTGGAAAAGGAGAGTGGATCCAAAGAGCGGGGTTCATTATCACGCCGTGTTTGGAAGGGGCCCCACCTCTGAGCGTCCCCCTCTTCCCAATCATAGCACCCACCGTGCCCCAGGATGTCATCTCCACGTCCAACTCCTCTTCACACCTACTGGTGCGCTGGAAGCCGCCGGTCCAGCGCAACGGAAATATCACCTACTACCTGGTGCTGTGGCAGCGGCTCGCGGAGGACGGGGACCTCTACATCAATGACTACTGCCACCGCGGTGCGCTGGGGGTGCCTCGGGCCGGGGGTACTCAGCAGTGGCGGGCGGACCCCTGTCCTGACCTCTCTCTTCTCCATCACGGCCACAGGTCTGCGGCTGCCCACCAGCAGCCACGACGCACGCTTCGATCGCGAAGACCCGGCGCTGGAGGCTGAGCCTGAGCAAGGCTGCTGTCCTTGCCAGCACTCACCCCCTGGGCAGGCCCTGCCCGCACTGGAGGCGCAAGAGGTCACGTTCCAGAAAAAGTTTGAAAACTTCCTACACCATGCCATCACCATCCCGAAGTGCGGACCTGGTGGGGAGAGCCTGGGTGGGGGGGGTGGGGGGGGCGGTAGCTGGAGAGGGTGGGGCTTTGTGGGCGGGGCCTGTTCTGGTGTGGGCCTGGCCTTGGTACGGTGGGCGGATTTGGAGGCGGGGCGCGGTGGCAGAGCGCGCAGGAGCTGAGAGGTCCCCTGGCTTCCCCAGGTCCCCATGGAAAGTAACATCCATTAACAAGAGCGCCCAAAGGTGAGCTGGGACGGGAGCGGGGAGCCCCCAAAGGTGAGCTGGGAAGGGAGCGGGGGCGCGGGGGCGGCGGACGAGGCTCTGGGAACAGGCCTGCCGGCTCTGACCCATCCCATTTCCAGGGACCGCCGGGAAGCTGGGCCTCTCAGACTAGGGAACAACAGTTCGGATTTTGAGATCCAAGAGGACAAGGTTCCCCGGGAGCGAGCGGTGCTGAGCGGCTTGAGGCACTTCACAGAATACAGGATTGACATCCACGCCTGCAACCACGCGGCGCACACGGTGGGCTGTAGTGCCGCCACCTTCGTCTTTGCCCGCACCATGCCACATAGTAGGTGCCCCCTCACACCGTGCACCCCCACTACTGACTCCAAGAACTGCCCAGTCAGTGCTCTGTAACCAGCAGGTTTACCCTCCCACAAATCTCAGAGCCTTGCTCTGTTCACCGTTCCCAGTTCCCATGATTGTGGGACTTCTCCAAACTTCCCAACGTGGCCCCAGTTTAGCCTGGGTTCGAAGGTGAACAAGAGGAACTGCTTGTGGCCTATTTGCCAGATGCCTCCTCCTGCAGGAGAGGCCGATGGCATCCCAGGGAAGGTGGCCTGGAAGGCAGCTGGCAGGAGCAGCGTCATCTTGCATTGGCTTGAGCCACCCGACCCCAATGGGCTCATCCTCAAGTATGAAATCAAGTACCGCCGCCTGGGAGAGGTATGTACCCAGGCACCCTATCCCAGGCTGGGTCCGCACCTCCACTCCCTTCCCAGCCTGCTGTCTGTGCTGTCTGCAGGAGGCCACAGTGCTTTGTGTGTCCCGGCTCCGATATGCCAAAGTTGGTGGGGTCCAGTTGGCTCTGCTGCCCCCGGGAAACTACTCTGCTAAAGTCCGGGCCACCTCACTGGCTGGCAATGGCTCCTGGACAGACGGTGTTGCCTTCTATATCACTGGTCCGGGTAAGACAGACTTGCTTCCCAGTCTGCCCAAGCGGCCTCTGCATACCGTTAGCCCCGCCCATCAACTTTCTCCGTGTTGCCAGAGAAGCAGCTTCCACCCTAACCTGTCCGTTCTTCTTCCCACCCTCCACCACCAGAGGAAGAGGATGCTGGGGGGCTGCGCATCCTCCTCACCGCCACCCCTGTGGGGTTCATGCTGCTCCTCATGCTTGCTGCCCTGGGTTTCTTCTACAGCAAGAAGAGGTGATGACGAGTCCCACATATCTCCACCCGCTTCTCCCCCTTAGTGGTCTCACTGGGACAGCACACTCGGAGGGTAATAGTTCAGACAACAGAAAGGACTTCCTTAAAGGCAATAACTCTTTCCCTGAAGGCATAGAGGAGACGTACCTCTTAGCCAGGGTGACAATTCATCTTTGTTCACCTGGAAATGTTTTGTATCCTGAGAAACGCCTTGGTGTGGGCACACGGGGACTACTGGTCACCATACCATTAGCTCAAGCTGAGAAAAAAAAAAAAAAAAAAAAGTGAAGTTGGTTCTTCTATGACAAGAGGAAACAACCCTAAGATGTGCCTCTACAGACGTCACCAAATCCCTCTGGGGCTGAGCACAGGAGGGTCCACTGAGAGAGGACCCCCCCCCCCCGCCCATTTACCCCTGGCTCCACCTATTCCAGGACTAGGACCACAGGCAGCTTGGAAATGCTGGTGCGTTCATTTCCCCTTATCTACTGCAATTTCCCATTGCAGAAACCGCACACTGTACACGTCTGTGAACCCGGAGTATTTCAGTGCTTCCCACAGTAAGACCAGGGGCACGGTGGCATGGGAAAGCGGGCAGAAGCAGGAGAGCAGAGCTCCGGGGGCCTTCTTGGAGAAGGTGGTTCTGAGAACAGAGCACTTCAGAAGAGACGTCCAAGGGCTCTGTGTCTGTATTCCAGAAGGGCACCTGAAATGACCTTGTAGCCCTCGGTGAAGAAACATTACCTTAGTTTGCTGGTCTGGGGGTGATGGATTCGAAGACGGTTCAGTGGGTAAAGGTGCTTGCTCCCAAGCATGAGTACCCGAGTCGGAATACCCAGCACCCACATAAAAAGTTTGGCATCACTGTGCATGCCTGCAACCCCAGCATTGGTTGTAGAGACAGGCAAGGATCCCCTAGGACTTGTTGGCCCCCCAAGTCTAGTCAAAGCATAAAGCTTCCAGTTTCATGGGAGACCTAGTTATTGTACCAGTGCAATAACTCAGCAGATACACATACATATCACACACACACACACACACACACACACACACACACACACACACACAATTAAACGCAAGAACAACTGAAAGCTGAGGAGGTGATTCACTATTAAAATGTTTGCCACAGCAGTTAAAAGCGCCAGTTGCTCTTGCAGAGGACCTGGGTCCTGTTCCTAGCACCCACAGGGCGGCTCACAGCTGCCTGTAATTATGGTTTCAAAAATCCTATGCCTTCTTCTGGCTTCAAGGACACCAGGCACACATGTGGCACATGGACATATATGCAGACAAAAAAAAACATACATTTAGAAATAATGTATAAGAATATAATAATTAAAATGTTCTCTGCACAAGGGTGAGGCCTTCAGATTGTTCGGATCCTCAGAAATCTTCATAAATGCTACATGGGCATAGTGACCCACAGGTAATTCCGGCCTCAGAAGGTGGAGACAGGGATCCCCAGAGCAAACCAGCTGGGACTAGGCATATTGGTGAGCTCTGGTTTTGGTTAAGAGTCCCTGCCTCAGTGAACAAGGTAGAACAGCGATGATTTCTGACATCAACCTGTGGTCTCCACAGGTCCTTACCTGTATATGCACAACACACACACACACACGTACACATACACATACACACACACACACCATGCACACATGAAAAAAGAACAACTGCCCTCATTTGAACAAGAGTTCACCATTTTTTTTCTTCCGAGGAAGCCGGCATAAAGTTGACACTGATACGAATGTGTAGTGACCTAAATGTTGAAGCGTGAACGATCTTTGGAAAAGTCGTCCTCTTTTCACATTAAAGTTGGGTAATAGCTTTAAGGGGGGAAGAAAGAGTCAAGAAGCAGGTGAAGGCAGGACAGAGAGAGGAGCTCCTCCCTCCTGACACGCGTCTCCTCTCAGTGTATGTCCCTGATGAGTGGGAGGTGCCTCGGGAGCAAATATCCATCATCCGGGAGCTGGGCCAAGGCTCTTTCGGGATGGTCTACGAGGGGCTGGCCCGAGGCCTTGAAGGTGGAAAGGAGTCTACACCTGTAGCCCTGAAGACAGTTAATGAGCTGGCCAGCGCCCGGGAGCGAGTGGAATTCCTGAAGGAAGCATCTGTCATGAAGGCGTTCAAGTGCCACCACGTGGTAAGAACACAACGAGGGTAAAGGTTATGTGGGAAGAGGAAAGGGTCTGAAATGAGGTCAGGGTTGGGACTGTAGTTAAAGTTCTAACAGGAACAGAGTCAAATCTAGAGCTGACATCAGTCAAGGTCGGGGCACAGTATTGGGTGTGCAGAGAGTTATTAGGGTCTTGATTGGAACCAAGATCCGAGCTGGGCCACGTTCACGATTGTGATGATAACCAGATGTGATCAGGGTTAAGCGTTAAAGTCAGGGTAACTTTTAAGGTCAGGATTAGGACTGCCGTTGTGGCAGGGATGAGGGTTAGGATAGGTGTCTGAGTCAGGTTATCATCACAGAGAGATCTGTGACAAAGCTCTTTGTCATCCCAGGTCCGTCTCCTGGGTGTGGTGTCTCAGGGCCAGCCAGCTTTGGTCATCATGGAGTTAATGACCCGTGGGGACCTCAAGAGCCATCTCCGATCTCTGAGACCCGAGGCAGAGGTTGGAGCAAGGAAGATCCTGAGCCATATGAGGTCGGGGAATTCGGAAGCTGGGCCTCGTGTGGGTGGGGGGCAGCCCTTCACCAGCCCCTCTCTTGCCCTCAGAACAACCCCGGCCTCCCGGAGCCAGCACTCAGTGACATGATACAGATGGCCGGCGAGATCGCAGACGGCATGGCCTACCTTGCTGCCAACAAGTTTGTGCACCGGGACCTGGCAGCCCGCAACTGCATGGTGTCCCAGGACTTCACCGTCAAAATTGGTGGTACAGCGGGACCCCGGGGGGGACGAGGGAAGCCTGAAGGTAGAGAGTCTCCCCTGACGCTAGCCACAGGAGACCAGGCCTGACTTACAGGCTTGACAGGCAAGGTCGCCAGTCCCGATCTCCTCCTCCATGTCCAAGAGCAGGGATGATCTCCGGGATCCCTTGAGCTCACATATTCCAGGACGCTTAGAGACTAGCGTGGCTAAGTTTGGGGACTGTCTTCCAGGGGAGCTGGTGCATGACTCCCATGCCCCTAAACTCTTACTTTGCAGACTTTGGGATGACCCGGGATGTGTATGAGACAGACTATTACCGCAAGGGTGGAAAGGGACTACTGCCCGTGCGCTGGATGGCCCCCGAGTCCCTCAAAGATGGAATCTTCACCACTCACTCAGATGTCTGGTAGGGCCTGGCAGGAGCAGAGGGTTCCAGGGATGTGCCGGTGGCATCTGGGAAGGGCCTGGGACACTTCCTGGCTGGGGGTGCTGAGCAGCCGGAAGGGTGCTGGATTTAGGCTGTCCGTCATGTGCTCCAGGTCCTTCGGGGTGGTGCTCTGGGAGATCGTGACCTTGGCTGAACAACCTTACCAGGGTCTGTCAAATGAGCAGGTGCTCAAGTTTGTCATGGACGGCGGCGTGCTAGAGGAACTGGAGGACTGTCCACCTCAGCTGTGAGTGGTCCCTGCTGCCCCACCCTTCTTCATCTCTGCTCTGTGCTCACCACCCTGGATTCCGACCCAACGCTCCCGAAGCTTCTACTCACTGACTCCCGGTTCTCTAGTTGGTTGTTTGTTTTTGTTTTTTGGTAGCCCAGGCTGGCCTCAAACTCAGAGATTCTCCTGCCTGTCTCCTGGATGCTAGAATTAAAAGTGTGTGCCACCACAGGGCGGTGGTGGCGCACACCTTTAATCCCAGCACTCGGGAGGCAGAG